GAGGAGGAGGAGGAGGAGAAGGAGGAGGAGGAGGAGGAGGAGGAGGAGGAGAGGGAGGAGGACATCCTCATACCTTAGATTTGACCAGTTGTGCCCCATGACAGACAGGAGGCTGCACCATCAGCTCCATTCGATTTCCGCTTCTCGGCATTACTCTTAGACCAAAATGTACGCACTCAGTGATTTTCGTCGGTCGTCGGCAGCAGCACAGATGGTAGCATAAGGCTCTCATCTACTTCTCCTTCAACGGCACTGCTTTGCGCAGGCGATTATCCACGCAGCACGGCACACGGCGAGAACAGCGATGACAGCTATGCTATGCTGTGGGTCCCCAAGGTTTTTTTTCACCCACAATGCTACGATACCCGACGCATTCAGTGGGTCCCTACGGGGCATTCTCACCCACAGGAAACAGCAGTTGGTCCCCATGGGGCTTTCTCACCTGCAAACATTGCGACGTGAGGGCCTCACCAACCTCCAACTTTCACTCCTTCCTGGCTCCTCTTCTTGCAGCCCCCCTCCCCCCGCTTACCCACGCTAGCCTCCCACCATCCCTGCTCTTGTGGCGGCGGTACCAGGTGGGCATGAGTGCGGGGGGGGGGGGACGGTGCATGCTCACCGCTGGCCGTCCTGGCACCGCTGGCCTTCGCAGCGAAAGTCGCCTGCAGCATGCGTTTCATCTTGCATTTCACCCACCACAGGCCGTAACCGAGAAACGGCGGCCACAGCCACACCTCAGCCGTGCAACCGCGACCCCCGGTCGCTTGCCTACACCAGCAGAGAGGAGAGAAAGGAGACGGGGGGGGAACATTGGGATGGGAGGATGGGCACCCTGGTCACGCGGCTGTGCCACTGCCACGGAAGGCAGAAACCTCCCCCACGCACGGTGGACCCCCCCCAAGCGGCCCCCACCCCCGCGGTCTGGGCACCCCGTTCCTGGGTGTGTGTGTGTGCATATATATAACATATATATATATCTATATATATATATGATACATAGATATATTAATATATATATATATATATATATATAGGCCAGGGGGGGGCCAAAATCGGTGCCGTCATCCCCCATGGCGGCCCCCCCGAACCTTTGGGGGGTCGGAGATCCCCCAGGACTGCCCCGTGCCGCTTCCAAATTGCCCACGACAGGCCACGCGGGCCGTACAGATGGTCACGCAAGCTTGGGGCCATCAAGAGGCAAACATCTGCCCATTTCCTTCGTAAAACGTGCGTTTTCGGCATGCTCGCTGGCTTCGTCTTCACAGAGCCCCAGACGCCCCCGCGAAGCCCCAACACAGCCCAAGAGAGACCCAAGAGGGCCCCAGACGGCCCAAAAGGGTCGGCCTGTGGGGCTGACAGAACCCCCCAAGACGGCCCAAGAGGCCCCGAAGCCAGCCCAGGAGGTCCCCAAGACGGCCTCAGGGAGGCCAAAGAGGGCCCCGTTCGAAATCATGTTCCCGGAAGCCTCTCCGGGAACATTACTTCCGGGCTCCCAGGGCCCCCTACTGAGCCCCAGGACAGCCTCAGCGAGGCCCCAGAGGGCCCGAGATGGCTTCAAGATGGCCGAAGAGGGCCCCAAGAGGGCCTTCAAGATGCAAAAATCTGCCCATTTCCTTCGTAGAACGTGCATTTTCGGCATACTCGCTGGCTTCGTCTTCACAGTGCCCCAGACGCCCTCGCGGAGCCCCAACACAGCCCAAGAGAGACCCAAGAGGGCCCCAGACGGCCCAAAAGGGTCGGCCTGTGGGGCTCACGGAACCCCACAATACGGCCCAAGAGGCCCCGAAGCCGGCCCAGGAGGCCCCCAAGACGGCCTCAGGGAGGCCCAAGAGGGCCCCGTGCGAAATCATGTTCCCGGAAGCCTCTCCGGGAACATTACTTCTGGGCTCCCAGGGCCCCCCATTGAGCCCCAGGACAGCCTTAGCGAGGCCCCAGAGGGCCCGAGGCTTGAAGATGGCCGAAGAGGGCCCCAAGAGGGCCTTCAAGAGGTACAAATCGGCCCAGTTCCTTTTTGTAAAACGTGCATTATCAGCATACTCGCTGGCTTCGTCTTCACAGTGCCCCAGACGCCCGCGCGGAGCCCCAACACAGCCCAAGAGAGACCCAAGAGGGCCCCAGACGGCCCAAAAGGGTCGGCCTGTGGGGCTCACGGAACCCCCCAAGACGGCCCAAGAGGCCCCGAAGCCGGCCCAGGAGGCCCCCAAGACGGCCTCAGGGAGGCCCAAGAGGGCCCTGTGCGAAATCATGTTCCTGGAAGCCTCTCCGGGAACATTATTTCCGGGCTCCCAGGGCCCCCTATGGAGAGCTCCCAGACAGCCTCAGCGAGGCCCAAGAGTGCCCGAGATGGCTTCAAGATGGCCGAAGAGGGCCCCAAGAGGGCCTTCAAGAGGCAAAAATCAGCCCGTCCCCGTAGTACAACGTACATGTTCAGCATATTCCCTTGCTTCGTTCGCAGTGCCCCAGACGCCCCCGAGGAGCCCCAAGACAGCCCAAGAGAGACCCAAGAGGGCCCCAGACGGCCCAAAAGGGTCGGCCTGTGGGGCTCACGGAACCCCCCAAGACGGCCCAAGAGGCCCCAAAGCTGGCCAAGGAGGCCCCCAAGACGGCCTCAGGGAGGCCCAAGAGAGCCTCGTTCGAAATCATGTTCCCGGAAGCCTCTCCAGGAACATGATTTCCGGGTTCCCAGGACGCCCAAAGACAGCCTCAGCGAGGCCCCGGACACGCCGAAGATGGCCTCAGGACGGCCGACGACGCCGCCAAAACGCCCCAAGAGCGCCTCCAGAGGCCCCTCCGTAGCCATTTTGGCTCCAGGGCTCCAGGGGGGGAGGGGGGGGGGGCCCGCGCGCGCGGCGCGCCCGGGCCGGCGCGCGCCGCGCGGCCGCCTCCAGGCTGTGCAAGCAGGCGTGGCCGTTGCCGGACATGATGGAGTTCATGGGCACGAAGGACGTGCTTTTGCAAGGCGGCGAAGTTTTGCATCGGCCTGGAGGGCGCCCTGGCGTACTGGTGTGACGGCGGCTGGCGAAAGCTGATGTGCGTGTGTGCGTGTGCGTGTGCGTGCGTGCGTGCGTGTGCGTGTGTGTGTGTGTGTGTGTGTGTGTGTGTGTGTGCGTGCGCGACGCACTGACTTGCTACCCACGCGTGGCGTGGCGGAGTATTGCCGAGAGCCTCAGGAAGACGGTGGCCGTGCAGCCTCGCGCTCGTCTTTGTGGCGATCTGTTTCTCGGAGATCTTCTTGGTCGGCGGGCAGTCGCAGCTTCTGAAGCTCACGGCGGAGGACGGGGCCTCCAGTGACGCGTTCGGCCTCACGGTGGCCGTGAGCTCTGACGGGTCCCGAGTGGTGGTGGGGGCCTACCTGGACGACGACCTGGGCCTCAGCTCCGGCTCCGCGTACGTGTTCGACGGGGCCACCGGCACGCAGCTGCTCAAGCTCCTGGCGGAGGACGGACGGGGCCTCCCTTTACACGTCCGGCCGCACGGTGGCCGTGAGCTCTGACGGGTCCCGAGTGGTGGTGGGGGCCTGGGACGACGACCTGTCCGGCGCCGCGTATGTGTTCGATGTGGCCACTGGCGCGCAGCTGCTCAAGCTCACGGCGGAAGACATGGCCCCTGGGGACAGGTTCGGCCACGCGCTGGCCATGAGCTCCGACTTGGCCCGGGTGGTGGTGACGACCGTCTTCGACACCGATGTGGGCTCTGGCTCCAGCTCCGCGTACGTGTTCGATGGGGCCACTGGCGCGCAGTTGCTCAAGCTGCTGGCAGAGGACGGGGTCGTCTCCGACAGCTTCAGCACCTCGGTGGCCATGAGCTCCGACGGGGCCTGGGTGGTGGTGGGGGCCCCGCACGACGACGACCAGGGCGCCAGCTCCGGCTCCGCTTACGTGTTCGACGGGGCCTCTGGAGAGCAGCTGCTGCAGCTCCTGGCAGAGGACGGGGCCGCCGGGGATCGCTTCAGCAAATCAGTGGCCGTCAGCTCGGATGGGGCCCGTGTGGTGGTGGGGGCACATCTGGACAGCGACCGGGGCTATGGCACCGGCTCCGCGTACGTGTTCGACCGGGCCACCGGGACGCAGCTGCTCAAGCTCACGGCGGAGGACGGGGCCACCGGGGACTTTTTCGGCGCCTCGGTGGCCCGTGAGCTCTGACGGGGCCCGTGTGGTTGTGGCGGCCGACGCGGACGAGGACCTGGGCGCCGACGCCGGCTCCGTGTACGTGTTCGACGGGGCCACCGGCAGCCAGCTGCTCAAGCTCTTGGCGGCGGACGGGGCCGCTGTAGACAGGTTCGGCAAATCGTTGGCCGTGAGCTCCGACGGGGCCCGTGTGGTGGTGGGGGCCTACGCGGACGACGACCTGGGCCTCAGCTCCGGCTCCGTGTACGTGTTCGACACCTCGGTCCCCAGTACGACCATAATTGAAAGTATTACCAGCGTTCCTTCTACCACGACTGGGACTGCGACCACCGAGAGCTTTACAACTGCGAGTTCGACGACCACAACTGTGAGTACAACCAGCGTTCCCTCTACCACGACTGGGGCTACGACTGCCGAGAGCTTTACAACTGCGAGTTCGACGACCACAACTGTGAGTACAACCAGCGTTCCCTCTACCACGACTGGGGCTACGACTGCCGAGAGCTTTACAACTGCGAGTTCGACCACTGCGGGCTTACGGGCGACGCCAGCACCGAATTGCGCTTCTTTACAGTGGTTCGACGAGAGCAGGGGGCAGTGCGAGGCGTGCCCAGAGGGGATGCAGCCGTCCAGCGATAGAACGGATTGCGAAGACGAGACCGTCTTGGGCATGACGGAACTACAGCTCGCTATGGTTGCGACTGTGGGCGGCCTCGCCGCCACCATTTTTGCGGCAGTATCAGCGTGGCAAGCGTCCCGTTGCCTGCGCGCGCGGGAGACCCGCCATGCGCAGGAAGCAGTGGCAACTTAATGTGTCCAGGGGTATGCCAGCAAAGTCTGTGCACGTTTCCTCTCATAGGTATCAATGTGTATTGCCATATCGTAGAATGGTGGTCGTGAGTCGTTTATTCTGCGATGCCTCCAGAATCTGTTCGGGATTTGTCCCGGCTCCGTCACATTTTCCATCAACCCTCTGAGGGGCGATTTCCATACAAAAAAAAGCGCCTCCAGAGGCCCCTCCAAAGGGCCCCAGAAACCGAAAATCATATTTTTTCCCATGGTTTTTGAAGCATTCTTGCTCTCTCCCAAGTTCCGCCTCCCCACGGTCCCGGACCGCGTCAGAGGCCCTTCAGATCGCTCCAAGACGGCCAGAGAGGCTCCCGAGAAAGCCCAGAGACGGCCCAGGAGGCTCCCCAGATAAGCCAAGAGGGCCTCGAGAGTGCCGCAAGAGAGCCCCAAGAGCGACCCAAGAGTGCCCGAAGAGCGCGACATTTCGAGGTCTCCGGCCTGAGAGGCTCCTAGGACGCCCCCGCAGGCCATCAAGAGGCTCCCAAGAAGCCCCGTGAGGCTCCCAAGAGGCCCCCCGGAAGCCCCAATATGCCCCCAAGGGACCCCCAGGGAAGCCCCTTGCGGGCCCCCAAGACACTTTGGTAAATCGTATTTCTCAGATAGCTTTCCGGGAACATGATACCTTGGGCTTCCGCCCACCGCCCCAACCATGTTTCCAATAGGCTTGCCGACAAGGCCAAAAGGCGCCCCTCGGTAAGCCCCCAGAGGCCCCCCTCTTAGAGAGCCGAACAAATCATGCTCCCGGAAAGCTTCCCGGGAACATGATTCTCTATCTCGGAGTAGCCCAGGGGGTGGTGGGCGGACCGCTGCCTGTTCCCCCCATCGGTGCCCACCAGGGTTTGCGGGGGGGGGTCCAGAGCTCCCCGAGGCGGCCCGAGCCCGCCCCGAAGCAGGCCACGACAGGCTAAGGAGGTCCCGAGAGGACCCAAGACGGTCCCACGAGGTCCCGAAGACGCCCTCAAGACAGCCGACGAGGACTCCAACACGCTCCAGGACGGACTCAAGAGGCTCCCCAAGAGGACCCTGGAAGGCAAGATTCACTCGTTTTCCGAGTGTTTTGGATTTTGGCGTTCTCGCTTTTCCCGCTTTCCAGCGCTCCCTCACGGCCTCGGAGGCCTTTCAGATCGCTCCAAGAAGGCCCACGAGGCCCCGACGAGGGCCCCAAGACGGCCCAGGATGCTCCCCAGACAACCCAAGTGTGCCCCAAGAGCGCGCCAAGAGAAGGCCCAGAGGGGTCCCGAGGCGGCCCGGGCCCGCCCCGAAGCAGGCCACGACAGGCTAATGGAGGTCCCGAGAGGGCCCTAGACGGTCCCAAGAGGCCCCGAAGACGCCCAAGCTGCCCTCAAGACGGCCGACGAGGACTCCAACACGCTCCAGGACGGACTCAAGAGGCTCCCCAAGAGGACCCTGGAAGGCAAGATTCACTCGTTTTCCGAGTGTTTTGGATTTAGGTAGGTGTTCTCGCTTTCCCCGCTTCCCAGCGCTTCCTCACGGCCTCGCTCGGAGGCCCTTCAGATTGCTCCAAGACGGGCCGTGAGGCCCCGAAGAGGGCCCCGAGACGGCCCAGGAGGCTCCCCAGACAACCCAACTGTGCCCCGAGAGCTCCCCACGAGAGGGCCCAGAGGGGGACCGCCAACCGATATTTCGAGGTCTCTGGCCCTAGAGGCCGCCTGTAGGCCCCTGGAGGCCACTAAGAGGCTCCCACGAAGCCCCGTTTTTGCACCCAAGAGGCCCCCAGGCAGCCCCAAGAGACCCCCAAGGGGCCCCCAGGGAACGCCCAAGAGGTCCCACAACACACCCCAAGAAATCATGTCCACAGAAAACCTTCCGGCGACATGGTTCATCATGGGCCCGAGAGTTCCCGGAGGACGCCCCCAAGCGGCACCCAGGGAACGCCCAAGAGACCCCCCAACACACCCCAACAAACCATGTCCCCAGAAAGCCTTCCGGGGACATGGTTCATCATGGGCCCGAGAGTCTCCGGAGGCTTCGAAGTACCATCATGCCACAGGAGAGCTGTCTGGGAAGTTGATTGGGAGCATAACTGACAACGTCAGGAGGCTCAGGGGGGGATGACTTGCGAAGGCTCCCGATCGCCCACAGTTCGCCGACGGGGTCCCGATAACCCACCCCCGCCCAAGACGTTGCGGGTATGCTATCCGGGACCTCCGACCCATCGGCAATGCATCACCGATTCGGGCTCGATGTCCCCCCCCCTCGCTGAGCTGGTCCCCCCTGACGCTGCCCATCAGGAGCCTACACCTTAGGCGATGCTTAAGAAAACCTAAGTTTTCGTCCAGAGTCTCGCTTATTTTTAACGTTTCAATATAAATCCCAAGATTTTGATAGAAGTTCTGGGTTTATTCCATTTCTGAGACTATGAATTTCTTAACCCATGATTTCTTAAGCATTTCGCAGGGTGTACGGGCGTGACTAGGGAGGGGCATGGCAGGGGGCCTGTCACGTCACGCTTCGCGCCGGCGTCGCTCAGGAATGCCTAGGATTGGGCGCCTCCCAGACGGTGCGGGCGTGAGTCGTGACGTGACTGGGGGGGCCGCTCACAGGCGTTATCGCGATAATATGTTATAATGTCGGAGTGTTGGGCCCCCCTGGCCCTCCCCGGGACATAATGACAAACCCAGACCCCCTCGAGTAATGAAAAATTCATGACTGGAGGTTTTTCCTAATTTTCGGCCTCCGGGGGCCCTCACCGGGCCTCGGGAGCGTCAAAAAACGACTCAGGATGCAAAGCCGGTCATGGGGAAAGGGTCCAGACCTCTGGGGGTCGACGTAATGAAAAAATCATTACGTCGGGGGTCTGGGAATGGGGCCACCCCCTGGGTAACCCCATTTAGCCCCCGGGGCCCGGGACGTGTTTGGGGTCCGTTACGGGCGGGTCTCACCCCAGGAACGCTCCAAGAGTACCCAACACGACACAAGACCGCCTCAAGAGCGCTCCAGGGCCGCTGCAGATGGTTTCAAGACGATCAAGATAGTCCCAAGACAGCCCAAGAAACCTCCGAAACGATCCAAGAGGCCTCCAGGAAGCTCCTCGATAACGCCCCCAAAGCAAAATCCCGTGGGTTTTTAATTGTTTTTGACGGTTTTCAGGGTTCTCGCCTTTTCGGCTTCCCGACGCTCCAAGACAGCCCAAGAGGCCCCCAAGATCGCCCCAAGACGGCCAAAGAGGCCCCCAATACGGCCCCAAGACGGTCCAAGAGGACCCCCAGAAGGCCCAAGACGCCTCTAAGACGCCCAAGAGGGCCCCAAGACGGCTCTCAGAAGATGCCCAGACGGGGGAGCCAAACGCAGTTTTGGGCCCTCGGCTCCAAGAGGCTCCCAGGAAATCCCAAGAGACTCCCGGGACGCCTCCAAGAGGCCCCCAAGAGGCTTCGCGCGATAGGCCACAGGTCGCCGACACCGTGTAAAAACGCAAGGAAAATTACGCCTGGGCCCCACATTTGTAGTCGGGATCCCAGCCCTGGGCCTCCCAGGGCCAGTGCGCGCCTGGGGAACGAAATTGGGGCCCAAAAACCACGGCCCCGAACCCCTAATCTGGTTCCCCCTCCTCCCGGACCTCCTGGGCCGATCTCCAGCCGCTGACGACAGCCCCCGGGGCACTCCAAGAGCGCTGCAAACTAAGAGCACCCGAAAAAGCACCAAAGCGGCCCGAAGACCGGTCAAGATGGACTGACATCTGGAAAGCCGGTTTTGGTGTACGTCTATACTTGTGTTCTTCCAACTCGGCCCTGATGGGCGGTGGGCTGTCGCGGCCTCGACGCGCGGGAGTTCGTCTTTGCCCGCGCCGCGCCTGTCGCGCGCGTGACGTGCTGGCGTGGAGGAGCAGGGGGGGGGGGCGAAGGGGGGGTGGGGAGTAGACAGCAGCCGCCGCCTTCGTGCCTCGCAAGTCCTGTATCCGCCAGGACACTCCGCCAGAGGTTCCGTTTGGATCTCCCAGGGGCGGGGGATCTATGTTGCGAGTGCTTGGGCGAGCCGATTTTCCCGGATCGACGGCTGTCCGTAGCGTTCCCTTCATGCTCATCATTTTTTCGTCATCATCCCCTTGTCCTGTTACTTCTCAGCAACTATCTTCCTTCCACACCCACCCCTTCCTTCTGTTATCCATTGTGGCGTCCTCGCCTTGCAGACGTTTCACGGCTGGCATGTGTTCCCAGAGTTCCCCAGTAGACGCCCTAATGTATGGGGCGGTGCCCTGAGGCCAGCAAGCGATGCTCCCCTTCCAGAGGCCGCGACTTGCTAAACTATCACACGGAGCTTTTGCTCGCAAATGAATCACACTTCCATCTACAATTCTATCTACTAGGTTGCGGCTCTCTGGAACAGGGGTCCAGGCGAAGACCTGGGCATTTGGATTGCCGGGTTCCAGTTCGAGGTGAATGAAGACTTGGATAACAACTTTCATTTTGGCGGCCCAGGTCTCAATGGTCTGGATTTAAGTTCTCCCTTCGCCTACTTCCGCTCTCTTTCCATTGCCTCCCCACTCACTCAGAATGAGTTCTACGTCCGAGGGCTGCGTTACACCCGACGGATGCTTTAATGCAGACTTGACACTGTGCTGCTTCAATCTGCGCCTTGATCCTGTCCACAGACGCCCGGCTGCACTGAGAACGGCGCTGCAGACCCCCATGGAGCAAAAATCGCTTAATTCCTATGGGATAACATATATGTTTTGGCATATTCGCTTTTTTGGCTCCGGAGCGTCCCAGACGGCCCAAGAAGCTCCATATATCGTCCCAAGACGGCCCAGAGAAGGCCCCAAGAGCGCCCCCAAACGCCCCAAGAGCGCCCCAAGACGGCCCAAGACAGCTCCGTGACGGCCCAAGAGCGGCCTCAGAGGGCCCAAAAGGTTCCCAAGGAGAGCCCTGCGAGAACCACAGGAGATCCCCAAGAGGGCGCAACAGGGCCCCAAGAGAGCCCCAAGACAGCCCTTGCCTCCCAAGATTGCCCAAGAACGCTCCGGAACGAGCCCCAAAAGACTCTAGCAAGACCGCCGAGAAGGCCCAATGATGCCACTCGGTGTGATGTTCTGATGTTTCCGCGCTCTCGCTTCTCAAATTTTTGAGAACCCTGCGAGGCTTGAACAAATCGCTATACCGAAGGGCACCCGAGCAGGACGCCAAGATAACCAACCAGGTGTGACACCTCTCTGGTCACAATCCTGGCGCAATGGCAGTACGAACCGAAGGGTCTTGGGGGGCTTCCAACAGGCCCAGACAACCCTCTCAGAGGCCACGCGTCTGCACCCGGAGCGATGTTTCCACAGCGGTTTCCGGAGACATCGGTTCCGAGATGGAGGCCTCCTCAGTGACTCAAGACCCCTCAGAGCCGAACAGCGGTCAAAGATCACTGCAAACACCCAAGGGGGATTCTCCGTTGCTCCGAGAAGGAATTTAGCCTTTTCGCCGTTCCGTCTTTCCTCAACAAGAAGAAAACACCCCCCACCCCCAACGAACGGCTTCAGGAGGGGCGACCTATTCGTTGGGAGTGGGGGTCGTTTTTTTTTTTTTTTTTTTTTTTTTTTTTTTTTTTTTTTTTTTTTTTTTTTTTTTTTTTTTTTTTTTTTTTTTTTTTTTTTATATATATATATATATTATATATATATATATATATATATATTTATATATACACATATAATATATATATAATCTATATATATATATATATCTATATATTGTTTTTGGTTATATTATTATTATTATTATTACCATTCGTATTATTATTATTATTTTTTTGTTCCTCTTTGTTTTTCCTTTTTTTGTCCTCTGCTGCACAACAGCAGAAAAAAACCTACCCCCAACGAGTGTCCCCAGGAGGTGCGACTCCTTTGGACTCAGGAGGTGCGAGTTCTTCGTGGGGGGTGGGGGTCAGATTTTTGTTGCTCATTTCCGACGCTCCAAGATGGCCTCCGAGGCCCCGTAAACCGTCCGCCAAGACGGCCAAAGATGAGCCCAAGACGGTCCAAGAACGCCACAAAATGACCCCACAGATGCCAGTCTCCCGCCCCAGCTCAGAGACCCCTGGAGGCTCCTACAGGGGCGTCATACGGTCCATGAGGCTGCCAAGCCGCCCCAAGAGGCTTCTGACAAGCCTCACAAGAGGGCCCCGAGAGGCCCAAATCGTTGCTCTTCCGAGTTGCTTTCAAAGATACCGGCCTTGTCGCCTGCTCCGTTGTTCTACGTTCCAAGACGGGCAAGAGGCACCGAAAACCGTCACCAGACGGCCCAAGACCGGCATCAGACGGCCCACGTCATTGTCACCAGATTGCCCAAGACAGTCCAAGAGCGGCCTTAGGCGATCCCAAGTGCAGTCCAAGACGGGTCTTCAGAGTTCCAGAAATGCGAGCTTGCCGCCCCCAAAGCGCTCAAGAGGCCTCCAAGAGACGTCCAACAGCTAAAGAAGCCGTCTAACGTCTAACCGCCCCGAGCGGTTTCCAGGAGACTTCACAAGACGGCCCCTACAGCCCTACAGGCCAACATCGTTGATCCCCTTTTGGTTTTTGATGGAGTTCGGCCTTGTCGCCTCTTCGGCAACGCGACGTTCTACGACAACCGAAGAGGTCCTCAGTACCTCCCTAAGTCGGGCAGGAGGCTTCCGAGAGAGTTCCGAGACGGCCCAGGAGAGCCCCAAGACGGCTGAAGGCGCGCCCAACACGGCCCAAGGGGGCTTCAAGAGGAATTCAAAATTGAGCCCCGCTATCGAAAATGCGAGCCCTCTGCCCCGAGAGACCCCCGAGCGGTCCACAAAAGGCCCGAAGGAGCCGCCAAGAGGCCTTCGGCTTGCTACGAGCCCCAGGATCCAAGACGCTCGGGACGACATCAACGTGCGCGAGGCGGCGTGGGGTCATCTTCGGCGTCTTCGAATGATTTTGGGCGTCTCGCGGATTCTTCTGCTTCTTCCTCCTCCTCCTCCTCCTCCTCCTCCTCCTCCCCTTCTGCTTCCTCTTCTTCCTGCTCCTCTTTCTCCTCTTCCTCCGCGTCCTCTCTCCCCTCCACCACTTCCTCCTCCTCCTCCTCCTCCACTGCCCCCGCCTGGCCACCCCCTCCTTTTCCACGCCTGGAAGCAGGAGAAAAAAGAAAGAAGAGACGGAGGACAAGGAGGGCAGGATGGAGGAGGGGAGACAGGCGGGGGAAGAGGTGGAGGAGGAGGAGCAGGACAGGCATAGGAGGAGGAGGAGGACGGACGGAGCAGAGGAGGAGGAGGAGGAGGAGGAGGAGGAGGAGGAGGAGGAGGAGGAGGAGGAGGAGGAGGAGGAGGGGACAGATGAGGAGGAGGGCATGCAATCGGAGGGGGGCAGGCGGTGGAAGAGGAGGAGAAGGAGGAAGAGGAGGAGGAGGAATACGCCTTACAAGACGGCCCCGAGAGGTCAGAATTGTTGAACGCACTGTTGTTTTGCAAGATTTCGGCTGCGTCGCCTTTTCGCTTGTCCGACGCTCCAAGATGGCCCAAGAGGCCCCCACGACCGCCACGAGACATCCTAAGAGGCTTCCGCGCGAGCCATAAGAACCAAGACGGCCAAAGAACGATCCAATGCGATACCCCAATACTCGAAACTGCGAGCTTCGTCCACCGAGAGGCCTGGAACACAGGAAATTAACGAGGTGGAGGAGACGGAGGGGGAGGAGGAAGAGGAGGAGGACAAGGAGGATAAGGAAAAGGACGAGGAGGGGAACGGGGCGGAGGAGGATACACGGGATGAGGAGGAGGAAGGGGAGGAAAAGGAGGCAGATGGAAAGGAGGATGAGGAGGAGGAGGAGGAGGAGGAGGAGGAGGAGGAGGAGGAGGAGGAGGAGGAGGAAGGGGAGGAGGAGGAGCGCGGGTGAGGAGACGGTGGAGGAGAGGCAGAAGGAAGATGAAAAGGGAAAGAGAGATAAAGAGAGAGAGAGAGAGAGAAATACTTTCAACCAGATTTTTTGAGGCAGCCAGGCCAACAAGTCTTCACAAACTCCTTGTAGAGCCAGCGCTTTCAAACAAAGATGGGTTGTATTGTGGGCCTGCTGTCAACCACGATTTGGGCATTTACTTTCGTGCCCCACTGAAATGCACAAGAACTGAGCCTGGCTAGAACCTAAGCGCGCGCGGAGCGCGCGCGTGGTTCTAGTGAACATATGCCGCCGCGCCGTTCGTTCCGACGCGCGGCCTTCCGTGTTGGGGGGTGCGCTTCGGTCACCGGGGCGAACTCCGCCTCGGACGCAGGGCGTGCCGTGAGCTTGCCGTGGTGCCGGCCTCGTCTGCTTGGGCGCGCTCCGAGCACCCCGACGCGCGACGTCCCGATTTTTTCGAGGCGCTGCCCCTGGAAGGCCCGACCCTTCTCCCTGAGACCGGTTTCTCATCCTCACCACCTACCAAACCACCCCAACCCAACCCGAAGGCCTCAATTTGCCCTCCATTTCCAGTGGGGGGGGTCCTGGAACGTTGAAAAAACACATGGAACCCGTACCCCCCCCCAACCCGAAATTCGGGTCAAATTCGGGTCTTCGGGTTGGGTTGGGGTGGTCTGGTAGGTAGTCACATCCTGACTCGTTCCTTGACGGCCCCGGGGTGCGGCGATGGCCTCCAGAGGCCGAAAGCGACGGCAAACCTCCCGTCCCACGTAGGCGTCCTGATTTTTTTAACGGCGCGAGCACGTGTGGCACGCGGCGCGGCGATCCAGGAAGGTTTTTGGAAGGTTTTTGGAAGGTTTTTTGGAAGGTTTTTGGAAGGTTTCTGGAAGGTTTCTGGAAGGCTTTCGGAAGGTTTTTGGAAGGTTTTGTTGGGGAAAAACCTTCCTGAAACCTTCCGCGCGCCCCCCCCCCGGAAAAACCTTCCAAAAAACCTTCCT